TATCTTCACAATCACATTAGCCATTTGCACAGCTGGGTACTCACTGAAGCGAGGCAGGTTAAGCACTACACTCGAGGGGACAAAACGATGGTGGCCCACCTGGAGTTTGGGCAAGGCCTGTCCTCAACTTCATGCCATTAACAAAAACACTGCTGGCCTTGCTTCCATTTGGCTAATGCCTCCATACCTCCCTTCCCCACCTTCCTTTTCTCAGTCTCAACATGTTGCCTCCAGATTTTCACCAGTTTGTTTTCATTTCCTTCTCTCACACTTTGTAACTTTCTAACAATTTTAAACCTACAAAATATATGTTCATGACAAATAAAACAAAAAAGCAGTAGGATGAGGGAGGGTTGACAAGGTGACACACTGTGACACAGGGATACACACTTTTACTTTTTACACAGCGCTTTTTATTTGTCTACGTTACCAGGTTCAAAAGGCTCCTGCCTCTGCTGTTATTTTTTTTTTCCTGTCACACTTAGTTTATATTCAAAGTTTGACATTTCACTAGATTAACTGATTAATCAAGTAAATTGTTGTTTACTGACACCGCCACTGGACATTAAACTCAATCAAGGCAACCTCATTTTAATCCATTAACATTAAAGCTGAGATAAATCCAGAATGAGACGTAGGGAAAAGAAGAACAGATGGGTGTAGAAAATTAGAGATAGCACAGATAGAAGCCAGGAGGAAGAATAAAGAGGTCCCGCTGAGGAACAAACCAGCACATCGTTTTAACTGTAATGTTGCTTACAATGGGAGTAAAGTAGGCTGAAGAATGAAATCAATAATGAGCGAACGAGGATGCATGAAAGCATTGAGGTTGATTGATGAGAAAAAATTATCAGAATAATCAATATGCCTATAGCTGCTATTCATGAATTAATCACAAACACAGTCACAGTTAAGGTAACGAGCCGTGCTACTATAGTATGTATCAGTGCCTACAGCAAAATACAAGCTGTGCAGCTGCAGAGGCTGCATGAGGCAATAAACACGTATAAACAGTGCAAAAGAACAAACGTGTTCAATAAGTTATGATACCGAGAAGCTTCACTCGGTCACATGATCAGAATACACACAAAGCACATTATAAATCTGCAAAATCGGAGCCTCTGGTAGTTGAGACGAGCCGAAACATATGAAATGTCTTTCTGTGCATTTTCCCCTCACTTTCTCTGGTACTGTGTGGTCAGGACCCGCAGCAGGAAGCAAGAGATCATTGGTTCAAGTAGAGGGGGAAGAATATGCTCCTCGTGGATACACCACTTCTTTCCTCCTGAGTGAGAGGTGACAAAAGGATGACAAATGTTGGAGTGGATGGAGGCGAGTGATCCAGGAGAGCTGCACAGATAGGTGGCGGGACAGAGAGAGGGAGTGGGGGGGGAGAGAGTTGGGGGAGAAAATAAAGTGATGGTACTTGCTCTTTCATCCACCCCTTTACTCCAGTCGCCACGGCAACATGCCCGGAGGGCACTCAAGAGAGGCGTCATCACTGACAAAAACAACAGAGAAGCGGGGAGTGAGTGAGAGCAAACGAGAGCAAACTAGACAGACGGTGTGTATGAATGAGAGATGAAAGAGTGGAAAGTAGGCAGCAGATCTACAACCGACTCAGGCTGCGTCTCCTCGCTCGCAAAAAATTCTGACCTTCAGGGACTCGGCTAAGAAGTGTAATGAGCATTCATTTATCATCGGCGGTAATTCAGATTAATGTTTGGATCGCTCAGCAAAAAGTTGCACCGACAGAGTCTACGACCATGTTTATGGGTGTGACTATCACTGATATCCCCTCCAAAAAGGGACACCATTATGAGATATGAAATTGGCAGAGTTAATCAAACCGAGGCTAATGCTTAATATTTGGAATTAACTGAGCCATTAATACTGCGGGCAACCATTAGGCTAGATAGAGTGGTTAAACCACCACCGGCGAAATTAAACAGGTTAATTAAAGTCTCCAAATTTTCATACGCTCCCCCCTCGGTCTATATTTCACTGTTTAACACACACACATAAGCACACAGATACACTCACACACACATATAATTACTCAGACACATGTGTTATTACTGTACTTGTAATGGCCTTGCACTCACTGTATTAATTTTCTAATATTAATGTGAATCTTATTTCTAGCCGTAACCTTAAAGAGATAGTTTACCCCCCAAATCAAAATACATGTTTGTTTTTTTTCCACTGGTGTGTTGTGTTGTTTGTCCCTCTAGATTATTTTGGTGTGAGTTGTCCAGTTTTTGAAATGTTGGTTGTAGAAATGTCTGTTGTCTACCGAATATAATGGAAGTAGATGGCTAAAAAAAAAGGAAACTGGAAAATGGAAAACCTCAGCAGCCTCAGCCGCCTGTCTTTTTCCACAAATCATGATCTGGCATTTCAAAAAAGATAAATCAGTTTGATACAGGAGCTGTACCATTGGGTAAAAGAAGTGTGTATTATATACCTATTGAAAGCACACAATCTCTGGACTTCAAGAGCAAGGCTTGAATCTGACGTAGAGACTGAAGGACGCTGTAATCTCACAGTAGCAACTTAACAATCATAAGGCTGGCCCAACATTATGCTATATTTGATATGACTTTAATTTAGCAAATCAGACCTTAGACTTAACTCAGGGGCACAGATCAAAGGAAATTAGGGTCGTTTTCCTTCATTAGTGTCACCTGTTAATACTTAGCTGAACCCCTTTTGCCTTCAAAGCAGCCTTAATTCTTCATGCTATAGGTTCAACAAGGTGCTGGGAACATTCCTCAGATCGGGTGACCATCTGAGTACAGTGAACTCCCTGTCATGTTCAAGAAAACAGTTTTTGATGCAACCTTCAGAAGATAGATACAGTGTTGTCATAAAGGGATGGGCATGGTCAGCGACAATAGTCAGGAAGCTTGTGGCATTTAAAGAATCTTCGCTTGGTAATAAGAGGACCAAAGTGTGGCAAGAAAATACCCCCACACCATTACACACCATTACACCACCAGCAGCCTGAACTGTTGATACAGGGTAGGATGGTTCACCGAATTCTGATCCTACCATTTGACTTTTGCAAGAGAAATCAAGTCTCATTAGATTAGACAATGTTTTTCCTTTGGAGCCTGAACTGAACTGTTTTCGGTTTTCTTTTCTTAGCTGTCAGGCGTGGATCTTCTGTGTGGTTTTCTGTTGCAGTAACACATGTGGCTCAAGCTTTGACATGTTTTGCAGTCAGAGATGCTCTTCTGTATTAGTTGTAGTGCGGATACACGAGCCTGCATGCAGCCTGTTTCAGCTCCTATTTTTCCAGGACTTACATCATTTCCTCTGGGACTAATAAATTATTCTGATTCTAACTCTGTTATAACAAGTGGTTATTTGAGTTCCCGTTGCCTTCTTATCAGCTGAAAAGCAGTCTTTCCATTTTTCTCTGACCTATGACATCAACAAGATATTTTCTCCCAGAGAACTCCTGCTTACTATATTTTCTCTTTTTCAGACCTTTCTCTATAAACCCTAGAGACAGTTGTGTGGAAAAATCCCACTAGAAACATCTCAGCAGTTTCTAAAATACTCAGGTCATCCCTTCTGGCACTGACAACAATGCCACATTCAGAGTCACATAAGTAACTGTTCTTGTCCATTGTGATGCTCGGTTTCAACTTCAGACGATCGACCATGCACATGTTTACATGGCTACATGCACTGAGTTGCTACCATGTGATTGGCTGGTTAGATATTTGTGTAAATGCGGATTTGAACAGGTATAAATCACTTCCGCATTTGCCTCATTTTTCAGACCAAGAGGCTACAACCATCTTCTATATACACTCTAAGGTCGAATATTTTGTGACCGTGTGAGTATTGTATCCCTCCTCCACCTCAGCTGAAGTTTGCAGATGTAGTTCACTAGAAGCAAAATTATTTCTGCATGAGACATCGCTTTTATGCCCACTGGCTTACATACCTGAAATTTTTCTAAAACTTTTAATTCCTGAGTCTTAAAGAAAATTCTTTTCAAAGCACTGTTTAGGATTGTGCAATTTGTGTACTCGTTGTGCATCTACACACACACAGAATGAAAAATATTGATAAAGAAGTCCTGAACACGATGGCGCTTTACATCAAGATGACTGAGCCCAGCACTAGATAGCTCTGTGTACCACTATTACAGTGTGGTGGCTTTGCATTAAACTTTCAACCATTTGTATATCAAACACTATAGCTGTTGAAATGTGAACAGCCTGATGATAATTAACTGTTAAACATGCGATAATGAGTCGTGAAGCAGCCAGAGGGGATGTTATTCTTACAGTGTGTTCTCCAGTTTAATCTCTCAGTAAACCCTGAACCTAATCTGTTCTTATGGAAACAGAAAAAAATACTTAAACTTTCAAGATGTGACCTGTACTGCATTTTTAAGGTCTGTAATTATGAAAGGAGTCATGGAAACCGTTTTATTTTAGATATCAGAGTTGTCACATTACCACTCTATATAACGTACCACTTAAGTGCTTAAAGGAGCGCACTCTACCATATGGTCTGTGTCAAGGTTTACTAAAACAATACCTGATGAGAGGCTGTTGGGGGGGAAAAGGCAAAAAGACCAAAGTAAAGTAAAGGTGATTATTTTTAACTCGTTAACAAATGGGAAAATGTGGCATCAAATAAGTTGATTTTTCATGTTTTGCCTATCAGTAGTAATTTTTTATAGTTAGGTACACACAATAAAGCAGAAAAGCTGGAGCAAACTATCCACTGGGTGCAGCACTGACTGATTGACTCTGACCTATTTACTAATTAATAGGTGGTGCTAGATGGGCTCTTTTATTGTTTGTAAAATCAATGTCCTTTAAACCTAAAATCACCTTCACCATACCTTTAAATAATCAAATTCCTTACTACAATATGACTGATCCTTTTATTTTTACGCATATATTTTCATTTTCTTGTGAGACGGTGCATGTTTTGAGGGGGCGGGGCGGGAGAATAGATGGACATGTGGGCACATCTCAGCCGTCAGAGGGCGGGTTTGTAGCGTTGTGTTCGCAGCGTGTGGCTGCTGCTGCTACTGCTGCTGATGAAAGAAGCGGCAGGTCACCTACAGCTACACAAATCTCAACAGCAGAGGTCCAGCGCCTTGGATGCGACTCTAAAGCGCGTCGAGAACAATAAGCACCGACTTACAGCTGTTAGTTTTGAATGTGGTAGACTGTCTTGCCGTTTATCTACCTGCACTGCTCCTTTCTAGTGAAAGAACTGGGAAAACAAAACAAAAGGTGTGACTTGAAAAAGTGCCCAGCGGGCACGCGTCAGAAGTCCGGATAGATTTGGCACAAGTAAAGATGCCCAAATAGGTTTCGTCGCAATGGGATTTGAGTTGAAGAACACGTAACCACTTACAAGTCACCCCGATTCAACCCGTTGTTAAGGTAACTGGAACTTGAAAAGGCGTATTTTCTTTCTCTTTTCGTCTTCTTCTTCTTCTTGACCGCTGGGATGTTGTGAGTGACGCGTCGCCTGGGACAGAAGGAGCGGGGACGCAGAAGGAAGAGGGGGCACCAGAACTGGCTGAGCAGCGGAGGGATTATGGCTCTCGCAACGTTTTCCCTCAGCCTCATCACGCTGGCGCTTACAAACTTGCACCTTTCGAGAGCCAGCAATCGGCATGCGGTGTACTGGAACAGTTCAAACCTGCTGTAAGTGGTGCACTCTCTCCCCTTGTTAGCAAATTATCCGATGCTGGTCTTTGTCGATGCACACCTGTGTTGATAACTTGTTTACATGACGGTGTGAGCACCTTCTCCTGCAGCGACGTGCTTCTTTTATTTACAGCAAAGCCCTTGAACCACCACTGAAATACACCACAAGAGTTATATTTAAGAAATAGGAGTTTATAATAAGATAATAACCAGTTGCAGTAGTTCATAAGTGTCTTCTTTTTTATCTCTTTAATAATTCCAAGCTTCAGATGTTTCCTTTGTTCCCAGTCATTTAATCCATTTGAGTGCAGTAATACATCTCCACTGGGAAACTGTTTTTGCGATGCTCCTCGTGTTCACCCTGCCTGTAAAGTGCCTGCTATATAAATATTTGAATCCTGTCTCACATTTAGACCATCTACTTGCTCCCAGTATTGAGTCATTGAAGTAGTTTTCTTTTTCTTTTTTTTACCTTGCTGTCTGCTCGTCCTCCCTGCCCCCATTCAGCATCAATGCATTATTCACATACATCACTCAAACTTGAAGAAGTCAGTGTATATGTGTGGTCATTACAAATAAGTATGCTTGCCACACTCACTCAAACATACCTCTGACTTTATTCTCATCCTGTGATTCCTCCGGCATCTGTGAGGTTGCTTACCTCTGGTGAGCTTTCTCAGGCTCTGCTATCTCTCTTTCTCTCTCTACTTCTATAAAGCCAGCTTGCTGTGGGGCAGAGATCGATGTGGATTCTACTGCCTTTGTCTTCTCATTAGCCAACAGTAAATTTATCTTTCTCACATTCTTTTATCTCTTCTCCTCACACAGCCTCCCTCTTTGCCTCCCCCACCACCCCCCACTCCTCGTTCGCCTCCTCTATCTGTGTTCCTCCTCTGTCCATTTGTATTCACCTCAGACGCGGGTCTCTCCTATCGCCTCTCTCTATCACATACTTTGCTTTTTTCTTCCTTCTCTTATTTTTCTACTGTGTATCACCAGCCCGTCTGTCCCCCTCAATTCCACCCCCCACCTTTCTTTTCCCCTGTTTCTGCATCTCATTTCCGCCCCCACATCTGCTGCTGCTGCTGGTCCCTCACTCGCCTTCCGGGCTCTCTGCTGGGGGCACACATAACAGTAAACGATTGGAATTAGAAAAGTGGGGTGAATTTAAAAATAGTCGTTATAATAACAGTTCTGAAACCTGATGGAAACAGTAAAGGTGATGCCGCAGCAGTGTCACTTCCTCATTAACATTAATGTGAGAATGGCAGAGTCACATTCACAACTGTTTCAGATTTATGACTACAGTTAATCCCGTCAGTGTGACATGAATAGAGAGGGGGTGTATTAACTGAGACTTAGTTGCGTTTTAGTGCTGAAAAAGTGCACGGGTTTTTGAGTGCCATAATCAACAGTAGTCTATCTATCAATTTTAATTAGTTGTCTGGCGTGTGCTCCATCTAAAATGATTTTCACAGCGTGGGTATGTTTGCTCGGTGTAGTTATTCATTACAGCGTTAGCACATTCGGTGGCTTTAAATTGACATTTATGTGTTAAAATGACAAATATGTGCACATATTGATGAATTCAAAATGCAGTGTGTGTGTTTGTGTGTGAGAGAGAGGCATAGAGGGAAGGAAGCAGAGAGAGAAAGACAAAGTGCAGGTGTGGGTCTACATGCATGCGTGTGCAAAACCTTCTTTCTCCACAGTGAGATACAAATCTCTAAAATAATGCAAAAACTGACCCAGTTTGCAGGTAGCAGACAAATCCTCAGAGGCTATGGCAAGAATACTGATGGCCATCAAGCCTTAAAAGGCCCAAGGCTTGGAGCCATTTCTCCTACATGCACAGAAACCAGCTGAAGGCCTTGCTTGTTCAGTAACGCAGCTCTGTCTCTCATCCAGCTTTCGTTATAGAGGCAAGCTCAGGAGGGAGCAGTAAGAAATGAAGGCAGCAGGAGAGAGAAAGAAACCAGAGGCCTTTAGGGCCAAAACTCTGGTTCAGGCCTTAATGTTTCACCCTTGAGCGCAGCATTCAGCACAGATGGTTACGGCACAGCTGTAAGAAATGGGATCACTTGGAAGCCAAGCTGTTTGTGCCAAAGCCATGAAAATGGCTTTTTATGATAACGCTCAGCTAGAAATGTCTTGCTCTGGTATACTGAAAGTCAAAAGTGGATTGTCACACAGTGGATTCCTCAGTAATACTGCTCTGTTTGATTCTTTTCAGCTTTTCTGAGGTAAACAACATCAGATGATTTATTATTGCTTTTTGTCATGCCTTGCACAATTTGAAACGAGATATCCCGATTATCATAACCCCAAGAAATACCTCGGAGTGCTTTGATTACCGCCCAAGCCCGTCACGACCGCACTACCCCCCATTAGAAAGTGTTGGCCTCAGCTTCCACTCTCAGCAGTGTGCCTGGCCAACTCGTTACAGATGTCCCTGCTAATGGCTGACTGAGGCAAGAAAAAACACACACGCAGGCCATTAAATCATCTCGCATCTGAGGCCATCTGCCAATTAGAGGGGGGAGATGTGGAACATCTTGAGAGCATGCCGGAGCAGCGGTGCACTGCGGTAGCCTCGCCTATCCGCAAGCAGCGTCCCATACTCCTGCCACCTCCTCCCATCAGGTGTCTGGCCTCGCTGGTTTCACAGGACGCATCTCCATAATTGCCCGGTGTGATGTGGGTGTGATGAAAACAGCAGCGCAGCTTTCATTCAATCTCCCACTCCCTCACTAAGTCACATAGTTCGTCTGCTAATGCTTTTAACTTAGCAGAACACCAGAGCAAAAAAGTCTTTGCATGGGTGTGTGAAGGAATACCAGAGAATTGCGTTTGAAAATGTGCCACACGTCTCTTTGCTAAATCGCCATTCCCTTGCCTGCTCAGCCAGATGAAAGCTTTCTTTCGCTGTTTGTGGCCGATACTTAGTGATTTACAGCTCAGCGTGTTTTATGCTACACATTATGGACTGATTTGGCCCTGAAATGGTGTCTGTCAAGCCCCTGGAACACACACACACAAAACAAAACAACCCAATTCCCCACACAGTATATCTGGTGCTACAAAATAAATTATCACCTTGACAAATAGCTTCCCAGAGAGTTCGAGGAACAGCGGCCCGGTGATCAATGTTGAGTCAAGGTGCCGTCTTTCTCAACAGGCTCATTAACCACCAGGTCGGTTTTTGTGGGTGTGTAGACCCAGCTAGAGTTGGAGGCGGTCCCCTATGGGACAGAGGAGAACCTGGTGCCCTGTAGGAAACACTTTGTAGATATTAAGTTGCAGTAAAGGCAATCATTACTGAGAAATGAAGAAACGAGAGAGAGAAGGATGGGAAAAAGAAATGTCAGGTAATGGATAAGGACATTTCAGAAGGTACTGTAGATGGAGAAAAAGCAAAGGCTACAAAGTGTGAAGTATAGTACTGTAAGGAAGAGCTGGCTCTAACTGAGAGATTGTAATAGAAAGGAATGGAAGGTGAAGATGTTGGAAAGGTGGAAAGCAGAGATGTCTTTCACTAGAATAAAGCAGTGGAAAGATTAATTAAGTCGGTCAAAAGTCAGGAAGGGTGAAAAAGAGCGCAGGCTTTGCCGGATATGGAAGTTCGGTTATTTGGCTGAATGTGCTGTAGCTGCTGTTTTCTGGGGAGAAGATACCCACAGGAGTTGATCCGTGCTAATGTGGACACAGGCTGGGTCATTCATGTGGACCAGTGCTCCGAGACAATAGCTGCTGCCACTCACCTGCCCCTCGGCCCAGAGAAACACGGCGACGCATACGGAGCTTACGGGAGACAAGCAGATTTGCTACCTGATTACATGCACGTTCGTCCGCCTGCAGCTCTGTCTCTTGGCTGTCTTGGCAATTTTGCATACAAATGCATCTTATTCACCGGCATTCAATTTGTTCTTTTTCATTCATTGTAACACACAAGCGCCTCAAACAGTAGTAGATAGTGGGCTTTTTTTCTCCTTGGTTGCAGTTATGTTAAATGAGAGGGAATGTGTGTGAATAACACTGATTGAAAAGTGCAATTTGACCTTTTGAGTTTTTGAATTAATCATGTTCCTCCATATCTAAAATGGAATATTCCCCTCTCCAACTATTCAGGTTGTTTGTTGAGATATGAATGCTTTCCATTTGATTTGTTTTAGACATTTAGAAGATTAGTTTGATGAGCACTGCTTTTAAATGGACGACTAACTTAGTATCATCGCCCAGCGCTCATTGGAAGTGAAGTGGTGGAAAGTGGTTAAAGGTTACTGGTCTGCAAAGCTGTGTTCTGACCATTTTTAGCTTGTTGCAATGTGGTATGAGTCACATAAGTGGATGGAGAAACACTGAAAGGATATTTAATGGTTCTTATAGATCCAAGAGTGGGTGTGCAGATCAATACATTTATATGGTATGGGAAGGTGAATGGAACCTGGCCAAACAAAAACACGACCTGGTTGCTTTTGGAGCAGCAATCAATCCGGGTGCATCAGGTGATCAATTTCCAAATGCATTTTTAATTTGATTTTGTGGTGTCCGTAAAGCGCCGTGAAGCATTCGGCGCTAAGCTCGGGAAGCTCAGATCAAGTATTGCCTTGGAACAGCATGCCTGAGAATTGATTATTATGGGCTTGTCAGTCACTGCTCCGGGGTTCATGCTCCTTAGAGGCCTTAACTATGTTTGTGTGAAACAAGGCCTTGGTATAGCTTCAGCAGCAGCTCCAGAGAAAGCAAAGGTTAGAAAAACACGAGTGCAGGCACGGATGAAAGAAAAGTAGCCTATGTGTTTTGAATAAATCCAAGACTCAAAGTAAATGCAACTTATTCCTCTGAAATGTGAAAATAAAATGAAAAGCTGTAGGAAAGTATGCACCTGTGCAATTCTTTCACAAGATAAAAATGAAAAACCTTTATCACAACGTTCTCCTTATGCGCATATTTTGTAATATCTACTCTCATCTTTTTCTTTTCTTCCAGATATGAAA